CCCCCTTCGGCCGCGGCGGAGGGGGCTGCGCCGGCGGGGTCGCGGAGCCGGTCCGGTCCGCGCCCCTGGGGCGGAGGAGAGGGCGGCGGGAGCGTCGGAGCTTGAGCGACCCGGATCAGTGCTGCCAGCCGGTGCGCTGGCGCTGGAAGCGGCTGAGGAGCGTGCACGTTGGCCGGCGCTGGCTGCAGCAGCGCGGTGTCCCGCTGCCTTCAGCTTTGTTACAACTTCCAGAAAGTTTGGGGTGTTTGGGGTTTTGGGTTTTTTTGTTTTTCCTCTGGGCTGCTGATCTGTACTTTTCTGTCCCGATCCCTTCCCTTTCTTGCTCTGCTACCTGGCACCTAGCGTGCCTTTGTTTCTTCTAGCCTCAATTTTGTCCCGCTTTCATGAAGCTTCTGCAAAACAACTTGCAGTACGTATCTTAACGGGCTGGGACTAACAAAAAAACAAATTCCTTTGGTAATTGCCCAGAGATCTTTTGAAATGCTACTGTATGTTTTCTTTCTCTCTCTCTTCTAGATTATTTATGCAAACCTGAGGACAACATTTACAACATTGACTTCACCAGGTTTAAGATCCGGGACCTTGAAACTGGCACAGTGCTGTTTGAAATTGCAAAGCCATCTGCTTCAGGTGTGTCATGCTAACATTGCAGGGAGGCTAGAGAGACTCGGAGAGCTGAGAAGTTGCAATGCAGGACCCATGCAAACCAAGCAGAAAGGTCCTTCGATATGTCCTGGTGACTAAATTCCTCTCCTTTAAGCATAGGACTGTGTTTACCTCTGCTGAGAAACTTGTTGTCGTAAAAATGTGAAGCGATTATCGTGCGATGGGGGAGTACTATCAACTGCAAATCTTCCCTTGCTGGCTGGTTATGGTACAGAGTTTCTTTCATGTGCTTTGGCACTTGTGAGGGGGGATATCCTGTGAGGTTGAGGGTGGTTTCAGCTCCGGAGCCACCAAGGCTGTGCCAGCTGTCATAGCAGATCTTTTCCTTATTACTTAGTGTCAGTATGAGTTTCAGACCAACTATTAAACACCTTTATGTTCAGCGCCTAATAGCCAGCTTGTCCTGATAACACCCGCTAGCCAGTATTACCTTACGTGTACGCTATTAGCAGAATAACTCTGAGCTGGTGCATTTTCTAGAGCAAGATGATGAGGATGAAGACGACAACAGTGAACTGGACGCTAGTGCAGGCCGCTTTGTTCGTTACCAGTTCACCCCAGCATTTCTCCGTCTTCGGACTGTTGGTGCAACGTGAGTATAAGTTCACAGAAAGAAGGGAGAATCAGATGTTTACAAAGTGTCACTTGACAGTTTGTAACAAAACTGAGTCAAAGACTAGAGAGGACCCATCTTACGTTACAAATATCAAAGTGTCTCTTTCTGGAATGATCTGTTGGATTCTTGTGTAGCCTCGGGTCCAAGGCTCTGTTCTTCCCAATAGGAAGAGAGGTATGTCGTCTTAGCTGGTTTTTTCCTACTTTTTGCATACAGAGTGGAATTCACAGTGGGAGAAAAGCCAGTGTCAAACTTTCGAATGATTGAGAGACATTACTTCCGAGATCGCTTGCTGAAGAACTTTGACTTTGATTTTGGGTTCTGCATCCCCAGTAGCAGGAACACATGTGAACACATTTATGAATTCCCTCAGCTCTCAGAAGACCTTAGTAAGTATCTCCTTTTCCACACTGAGTTGTGTTTTGTTTGTGCGTGTGTGTATGCTCATTTTTTCCCCCTCTCTACTTGTGAAAGAAGTTGGGACTGGGATGGGGGGGACAGGAATAGATAGATACAGGTTCCTGGTTTAAGCTGTGTGTAATCTTGACTGAATTACAGATTTGTGCTGCAAATTCTCCTTCTTTGAAAATGAAAGCCTAAGACAACCTGTGTTGTCAAGTCACAGGCTGCAACAACTGATCAGAGTCACAGGGCTGACGTGCCTAACAGTGTAGCCCAGAAGATAACAAAACCCTGAAAAAAGGTTCTCTTGGTAGCCACGCATCTGTTTTCAGCACTTGCTTGTTAGGACTTGAGCCTCCTGCTTTGGAACAGAACTGGCTCTTCTCTGAGAGGTGTGTTTTTGAGCCTACCAAGATCTCTGCAAATATACATTGCGCAGGGTATGTTTGACCTCAGGGGGTGGATAGAGCAGGAGCACGTGGGCCCTTCTGTGGCTGCCTAGGTACGGGAGGAGGCGCAGAGTTTGTACCCCGCCTGTGTACTTGTGGGGAGTGCCTCCGCTTTTTCATTTGCGGATTGCAACCTCTCTGCTTACAGGCGTGATTGCTGCTCTGCTCTAGTGGTGGCTCTGACAGTTTCTAATGTCGTCTTGTGTGAGGTTACTCCATCCCCCTTTGTTTGCTTTTGACAGAACTTGTCCTGTAAATAGGAAGAATAGGAAGGGACAGGCTAGAGCTTTTGAAGTGTGCTCAGCAGAGCAGTTTGCTTCTCTTACTTGGGTAGAGCAGAGCGTCAGCCTGGTAAATCCAGCAGAGTGGCAGAGTCTTTTTTACTCTGACTTTGTGCTGTCCAGTGGAGTGTGGCAGGCTTTGAATGTAATTGAGCTTTCTCTTTCACAGTCCGTCTGATGGTTGAAAATCCATATGAGACCCGCTCAGACAGCTTTTACTTTGTGGACAACAAGTTGATTATGCACAACAAGGCCGACTATGCTTACAATGGAGGACAGTAATCATTCTGTGTCCACTGGATGCTGCGCTGCCGTTAACTGTTCCAGATGTCCAGGAGTGGACTGGAGTTGCCGTCTCGTGCAACAAGGCTTCTTGCCAAACCTTTTCTCCTTGCATGAGGCTGAAAACATGAAGCAAAGATGACAGCTCATGAAAGTAAAGGAAATCTCCCTGCAACACTTCTCTATCCAACGCTCAACGTATCCTGCCTCTC